CTGGGGTGACGCCCACGGAGGGCTGGCTCTGCACTGGGCACCTGGTGGGAGGCAGGGGAAGGACTCGCCCCGGGTCTGGATCTGACTCTGTGTCCTCCCTGCTGTGTGAGCTTAGATGGGTCATTTAACCTCTCTGAGTCTCAGAGAAGACAGGAAAGTCACCGCCCATCTCAGTGGGTTGTCTCGAGGATTGGAGATGAAGGTATGAAGAGGCTGGCACATAGCGGGTACTCAGAAACGGCTGGTATAGGGTGCTATAAAGGGAGAGTGAGGAGAAGGGTAATAGAACAGTCTCGTCTGTGTGCGGTGGCTCCCTGGGGAGGGAGGGCTCCCCCCTGAGGGCAGAATCTTCATGGGGGACCAAGGAGGAAGAGACCCTGGAACTGGACCCTGAGGGTTGGCCAAGAGGAGAGGAAGGGGATGCCTAGAGAAGCAGGAGGCCTGGGAACAGAGTTTGATTGTATCACCATCATTATCAACAGTTTTGAATACCTAACTGTGTGCAGGTGACTATATTTGGCTCTGAGGGACAGAATTCAGTATTTCTACCATTTAATGAATGAATGTTACAGAAGGTGCTTGACTTTCATTCATTCATTCAACAAAAACGTACTGTGCATTTAACTATGTGCCAGGCACTGCTCTGGATGCTGAAAATACAGCAGAGAACCAGACAGACAAAAACTACTGACCTTAACAAGCTGACATTACAGTGAGAGAAGAAGACACAAACATGACGAATACTCTAATGTTGGGAGCCTGGCATATGGTAACATGTGCTGTGAAGAATAATAAAGTGAGGAAAGGGAGACAGGAGAGTGCTGGGGGTGGGAAAAAGTGTCAAGTGAAATGTGGGGAGGTTAGGACATTTGAGCAGACATGGAAATCTGGAGCGGGGGGCACTCCTAGCAAGTGCAAAGGCCCTGGGGTTAGAGCAGCAAGGAGGTCAGTGGAGCTGGAGGAGATGCAGGGCCCCCTGGGAAGGAATTAGACTTTTACCTGGAGGAAATGGGGAGTCACGAGAGGATTCCGAGGAGGGCAGTCTTAGGTATTACCGGTGTCCCTCTGGCTGTTGCGGCAGGGAACAGACTGGAGTGGGGGCGGGGGTGAGAGACACAAGGTCGGAGGCAGGAAGGCCACCGAGGAAAGTGATGGGGCTGGGACCAGGGTGGTTGAGAGCAGAGCCCAGGATCTGCTGATGGGTTGGGTGGTGGTGGGGGGAGAAACGGGCTCCTGCGATTGTCAGTGACTCGTGCGGGATGCAGGAATCCACATGCCACCTTTGTCCACAGCTCTCCCGCCCTCTCTGGGCCCCTGCGCGTAATTCCTCTGTCCCTTCTTCAAGCCAGGGTGGACAGAACATGCCCAAGGCCCCGGACCTCCAGGGGCTTTTAGAGGAAGCAGGCAGGAAGCCTGGAGCCCAGAGGAGGGACGCTTTTCACCCTGGGGCTCCTTTCTCCCAAAGGAAAGGTCAAGGCCAACATGCAAACTTCACACTTCCATAAATGGTCTGTATTTTTCAATAATGCCCTCTTAACCATTTGAGTGTCACATGGTTGTTTTCCCATCAGATGAGTTAGAAAACCCAGACCCCATGACAGGGCAGTGCTGGAGCAGAGCCCATGCCCCCCCCCCCGCCCCGTTCAGCAATCTGAGGGCTGCACCATCTTTGTGGGCAAAAAAGACCTGGCTCCTTCCCTGGCTCTACAAAAACAGCACGCGCCCCCCCCCCCACCGCCCCGCCCGCTACGGGACTGCCGCCCCCACTGTAGCAGTGGTGACAAATCAATAATGAGAGCTGACAAGCCCTTTCGGTCATGTCCCAGCCTCTGGGCTCTCTCTGCAATAACGTGGGGGTGATAGTAGCACCTGCCGTAGAGGGGTGCTGGCAGGATTTGATGAGTTAAGACACATGGACGGTCCTTGGCACCAACTCTGTGCTCCATAAATGCCGGTCGTTATTATCAACGACAAAGGGCTTGCAGGGCCGCGATTGCTTTATAAGCACCAGGGAGAAAAGTCAGATGGGCACTGTGCCCATTTGATGGCTTCTGCTCGGAGCACATCAGGCTCGCCCATGGGCGTGACATGTCGGCCACACTGGCTTCCTGACTCTCAGAGAAGCAGCGTTTTCAGTGGCGGCTCCTGACCACCATTCAGGAGGGACCTGGCATTTGACCAGAGTTAAGCCTCTCCCTGGTGCCCGGGTGGGGGCGTGAGGCTGATTTGCGGGAGGTGTGTCTGGCAGGTGGTGCTGAGGGCCTTCGTGCCCCCCCACCCACATCCTCTCCTGCCTCTGTGCGGGTCCAGCCTGGCCCCTCACCATTTCATCCGGTCCTAGCGTTGGGTCGTAGCATCCTCATTTCACAGCGAGGCCCGACACAGTCACGTGAATTGCCTAAGGTCACACAGCAGTTTGGTGACCAAGCAGGGACCCCCAAGGCTAGAGCGACGCGTGCTACCCCAGCTGGGAGCCTGGAGACCTATGACTTGCCTGCATTGAGAGAGGGGCCCCGGCAAGTCCCTTCCCTCCCCCCAGGTCTGGACAGAGTGGAGATTGGTCTCTGCCTTGGTGCATTCCCGGCTATCTGACATGCCAGGGCTTAGCTCATGGTCCCCTTCCTCTGGGCGTCCAGTGCACTCTCGGTCCTGGCTCCCAGCTCCCTCCAACGCTGGCCAGAGGGTTTTAAAAACTGTGCAATGTATGCGCACAAGGCAAAATATAAAAGCCATAAAGGACTGACAGTGACAAATCTCCTTCCCATCACATCCCCCAGCCACCTAGTTCCCTGAAGGCTGCCACGCTACCAGCTTTCCAGAAGTGTTCCCTGTTTGTATATTTCCCCCCATACAAATGGAAGCGTCCGTAGCCTCCCTGTTCTGCACCCTGCTCCTTTTGTCTCAGTGCCGTGGCTTGGGGTAGAGCTCCTGTCAGGACCAGAGCATTCTGTTGCCTGCCTGCACCAGAATTTACTTAAGCAGTACCCTGGACGGGCAGCTGGGATGTTTCCAGCCTTTGGCTTTTATAAGCAGTGCTGCAGCAAATGGAATTAGGCAGCGCCAGTTCGCCCCGCTGGCTGGAAGATGAATTCCTAGGAGCGGCATTGGCATTGTGGGGTGAGGGAGGCGTGCCTCTGTAGTGGGGAAGAGAAGGCACACTCCTGCCCCCTCTGATCAAGGCTCATCAGGTCACTCCCCCACTACCTGGGGTGAGTTTGACCTTCATTCTCATGAATTCTCCACCCGCTCCTGCCCCCACCGCCAGCCTGCTGACACTGTGCATTATTTGGATCCCAAAGGGCACAGTTCGGTATGACTTCAAGGGTTCTAGATAGGGCTCTGGCCCCAGAGATGCTTACCTAACCTGGCCGAAAGTCCTGCATTAAATATCCCTGCCTTTTACTTTCCCATATCTATATGCAGCACTCTTTATGAAGTGAACACTGCTTTGTAAGTGAAAAGTGCCAAAGTCAGAAGAAAAAAAATCCAGACCCTTTCTTTGTCCCTTGATGAATTCTAGCCACCTTCCCTCCCACCCACCCCCACTGTGCATGAGTTTGTGGGAAAGTTTATCTGTGGTTTTGCTAAGTGGAAAGGAACACAATATACTTAGGGCTTGGGAGGAGCAAGGTGAAGGCATTCCTGGGTTATTACTGGGAAAAGGGCACTAGCCCCTGGACAGATAGGGAGACTGAGGCCAGAGAAGGGAGGAATATCCTTGACCAAGGATCCTCCCCTGGTGATGCCACCTGCTCTGAGCCTGAAGGTGAGCTGCTGTAAGGGCTGAGCATCCCCTGGACCCCCAGGTTGGACCGAACTTTGCAGAGGCCAGCCCTCCCCCAGTATCCTCATGGCATGGGCTACCGTAGTCTCTGAGCGGTGCAGAGACAGGGGGGGCATCCCCTGAACGTCCCCTGTCTTGAGGCTGGCAGCTCCTCGTGGGGTCATTCCTGCCCTGGCCTCACTGCCCCTTTGAAGACCAGGTCCCTGGCCCTCTGGGTCCTGTCTCCTGACTACTGAGCCATTCTTGCCGGGGGCGCGGGGGGTGGCAGTGAGGCCTGGGTGGGGGATGGGAGAAGGGCAGCGTCCCCAGCCCTGGGGCAGCACATGGCCTAGACTGGACCGCCGCGATGCCTGCCGACAGATCCAGGCCACACAGAGCAGCTCCAATGTTTACACAGATCACAGTGCTCTGACCCATAGGCTAGGAAGCCGCATGTTTGGGACTCTTAAGGAGACATGTAAGTGGCTAATGGAGGCTTTGGAGGCCGGGTACCAGGGCAGCCAAAAGGGCATTTACAGGGGCCCAGCCTGGGCCAGGGAACTCAAGTCCAGGCTCCAGGTGGGGCATCTGGGGAGGTTCTAGGGGCTGAGATCAGGGACTCTGCTCTGTGGGGGAGCTGAGGAGGGTATTTTGGGCCCGGTGCAAGGGTTCAGGTGGATCAGGGTGGGGGCAGTGCAAAGAGGGACAGATTGAAAAGCCAGCTGGGGTTCATTGAGCCCCAGTGGGCCCTACGGGGTGCCAGGTCCTGGGGAGGGGGTACAGGACATGCATAAAGATTAGCCCGATTACTGGTTTTGAGGAGCTGTGTGTGTCCATGAGGCAAACTGCGAGCTTATATAAAGCCAATATGTAATTGTGTGTCTCTAATTTGGCTCTGAGTCCAGGAGCCCGAAAACATTTGTGGTTGGGGCAGGCTTCTGAGAAGAGCTGCCACACTGGAGCTGGAGAATGGATCTGGGGGGGAAGGGAGGGAGAGGATGTGGGCTGAAGGGCTCATGGAGGACAGATGGGGGGATGCGCACAAGGGGTGCTACGAGCTTACTCTTGGGGTTACGCCAGGGATGGCGAGCCAATCACCTGGCAGGAAGTTCCCATCCCAATGCAAGGCCCAAGCCTGTGGACCCCTCATGCCCACAGCACGTTGGGGCCCCAGGCCTGGAATGGGGCACGTGGGGCACTTCCCCCCTCTCCGGGGATCTCTCTTCTACCCTCCCAGCGCATGAGCAGCCCCGCCTGCTGACCGCCACCGCACACCCACCTGTCCCCCCACCCCCGCGGCTACACCATGTCTGGCTCCTACGACGAGGCCTCGCTAGCTCCAGAGGAGACCACTGACAGCTTCTGGGAGGTGAGACAGCCTCTGTGACGGCCCAGGCTCCCACCCCCCACCACCTCAGGCCTTGTTCCCCAGCCCCTCGGGTCCCTCCAAAGCCCTCGGTGTTCAGTGAAATAGGTTAAGACGACTGCCCACCCAGCCCAGAGCCCCTCTGGCCCGGCTGCCCCTGGGGAGATCCTGCAGCATTTCTGGAGGTGGACCAGGCTCCTCCTGTCCGTCTGCTCTCAGACCCCGGCACCTCAGACCCCGGCTTCACAGCTTACACAGCCTTTCACAGCGGCTCCCCGCCCCCGCCCCTGTGGCGTGAATTCCAGAAGCCCCACAGCAACAAAGAGGTGGCGACAAGCCTAGAAACCAGCATTTCAGGAGCCTCCCAAACTATTTGAGACCAAGAAATACAATTTTTTCGATTGGCTTCCAAAACCGAAAGTGAAAACTGCCAAACCTATATTAATAAGTGTTTAATGAGGTGTCTACAAAACATAATATTATGTCAAGAAGCTGCAGCTCAGCTCAACACTTACATGACTCTCTAAATATAATACATTTAGCTCACAAGAACAAAATGAATAATTCATTCTAGTCTGGGTCCAAATTATAAAAATCTTGCACTTTGTGGCAGCGAGGAAATTATGTGTCAAGTGGGGTGAGGGAGTGCATAGCCCGTCGGGTATGATGCAGGGCGCTGAGGTCCCCAAAAGTGAGAGCAGGGGAGCCCCCAGTGCGTTCCGGCGGGGCTGCGAGGCTTCACCTCGGGGGCAAGATGGACGCGGCGGGCGCCCCCTGCAGGCCGCGGCGTCTTGGGCGGGTTGGGGTCGGGGTGGCGGGGGGAGGCGGGGAGCCCGCGGGAGTCGAGCTCGCTGCTTGGCCGCCAGGTGGGGAACTACAAGCGGACGGTGAAGCGCATCGATGACGGCCACCGCCTGTGTAACGACCTGATGAACTGCGTGCAGGAGCGCGCCAAGATCGAGAAGGCGTACGCGCAGCAGCTCACCGACTGGGCCAAGCGCTGGCGCCAGCTCATCGAGAAAGGTGCCCCCATGCCCACCCCGGGCGCATCGCCCTGGCCCTCTCCGGCTGCCCACAGTCTGGGGCCCCAGGAGCACCCCACGAACCGGATGCATCTGCCCCCACTCTGGCCACCGGGCCATTGAAGGCACCGTCCCCCACACCTGCGCTCTGTTCCTCCCACACCAAGCCAGGTCTCCCTGTCCCTGTTCAACTCGACTTTGTACAATTTTAGGTTGGATTAAAAAGACAAAACCAAACCAGACAACCTTTTTATTTCCAAATAATTTTAACTTAGAGAAAAGTTGCAAGAATTGTGGCGAGAACTACACAGTCTTCAACCAGATTCACCAGTGAACGTTTTACCACGTTGTTTTTGCAGTCCCTCTTTCTTTGGTGCATATGTTTTTCTGAACCATTTAAGTGGGAGATTTGCCACTTTACCCTAAATCCTTCACGTATCTCCCAAGAATAAGAACATTTGTTTACATAACCGTGGTTCACCGATCAAGCTTGGGACATTTAATATGGCCCATGTGCAAATTTTATTATAGCAATTGTTTGTGCTGGTCCAGAAGGCGATCCAGAATCGCATTCTGCATTTAGTTGTCCTGTCTGTAGATTCCTTTCATCTGGAACACTTTCAGGTTGGGGTTTCCATGTAATTGTTAAATTTTATTTTCTTCCACGAGACCCTAACTCGCACGAGGGCAGGGGCTGAGCCTGGTACTCCCCAGCATGGTGCCTGGCCCAGAGCTGATGCCCAATATAGAGACCAACAAATGACTGGAATGTCTGGTCCCAGTGGCCTCCTGGCATCTGCCACCACCTGCTTCTTCAGTTTTATGTTCAGTCAACATTCCTGAAGCACCTACTGTGTGCTTGGTGCTGCGCTGGGCTTGTGAGGGCTTGCAGGGTCCAGGCTGCCCCCCACGGGGCTCACCAGCTGACAGGGGAGATAGGAAGTGGACACAGAGGCAGATGCTATACGAAGAATTCAGTGAGGGCTGCAGGCTACAGGGTGTGAGAACGGAGCAGTCAGAGAAGGCTTCCTGGAGGAGGTGCGTGGGCCCTGAAGGATGGATAAAACTGTAAAGAGAGCAGGGGAGGGCATTTCTGCAGACATGGCAGGTACGGGGAAAGCCTCAGAGAAAGGAGGCATGAGGGAGGCCCCTGGGCGACGCGTGATGAGGGCCTCGTGACCCCATGACCGTTTCCTCAGGGCCACAGTATGGCAGCCTGGAGCGGGCCTGGGGGGCCATCATGACGGAGGCGGACAAGGTGAGCGAACTGCACCAGGAAGTGAAGAACAACCTGCTGAACGAGGACCTGGAGAAGGTCAAGAACTGGCAGAAGGATGCCTATCACAAGCAGATCATGGGCGGCTTCAAGGAGACCAAGGAAGCTGAAGACGGCTTCCGCAAAGCCCAGAAGCCCTGGGCCAAGAAGATGAAGGAGGTGCCCTGTGGGTGGCTGCTGCAGATGGGGCAAGGGTGGGCAGCCGAGCTTGAGGGGGGGGGCAGTCTGATCAGAGGGGGCGAGTCGACAGAGGGGGCGGGCAGGACATCACCCGCTGGGGTTGTGCCCGTGGGGAGCAGCCCTGCCTTGCCGGCAGAAACATCCACCGATGGGTGGGCACTGCTCCCAGATACCTGGAGCCAGGGCCTACATCCCTCCTGCCTCTTCCGAATGTGTGCTCCCAGCCCCCAGCGGGGGAGGGCTTGACGAGGGACCCTGTCTGTTCCTGCTTGTAAGTAGGAGCTCTCCCTCCTGCTCCCTCTGCCCCTCAGCTAGAGGCAGCAAAGAAGGCCTACCATCTGGCCTGCAAGGAGGAGAAGCTGGCCATGACGCGGGAGATGAATAGCAAGACAGAGCAGTCAGTCACGCCCGAGCAGCAGAAGAAGCTGCAGGACAAAGTGGACAAGTGCAAGCAGGATGTACAGAAGGTGCCGCAGGCCTGGCAGCTGAGAGCCCCTTGGAGTGGGAGGCGGCTGGGAGCTGCAGGCCTGGGACTCACCCTTCCTTTGCCCCGGTGCCCACAGACGCAGGAGAAGTATGAGAAGGTCCTGGATGACGTGGGCAAGACCACGCCCCAGTACATGGAGGGCATGGAGCAGGTGTTCGAGCAGTGCCAGCATTTCGAGGAAAAGCGGCTGGTCTTCCTCAAGGAGGTGCTGCTGGACATCAAACGTCACCTCAACCTGGCCGAGAATAGCAGGTAGCTGGGCATGGCGGCGTGGCGGGCGAGGACACGGACGGCAGAGGGTGGAAGTGTGTGCAAGGCGCCCTGGGCCCTATGGTACCAGAATGGGGGCGGGGGCAGAGCAGCAGGGGCCCAGAAGGAAGAGGCTCCGGAGACAGTGACTGCCTGGGTGCCGCTGACACAGACTAGGCCCTAGAGAAACAGCGGGTGTTGCTCTGGAGGGTTGGGGGAGTGGCTAAGGCGGGGATAGGGAAGGGTGCGCAGTCGGGGATTGCTCCTTGGCCAGCCCACCTCATCCCTAGCTGGGGCGCCTGCCAGCACCCTGGTCCCCTGAATGGTCTCCCTCTGGCCATCAGTGAGGATGAGAAGGGGCCATGGTGCATCTTGCCCCATCTCCCCCATGCACAGCTATGTCCACGTGTACCGGGAGCTGGAGCAGGCCATCCGGGGGGCCGACGCCCAGGATGACCTTAGGTGGTTCCGCAGCACCAGCGGCCCTGGCATGCCCATGAACTGGCCCCAGTTTGAGGTGAGGAGGCGTGGGGATGGGGAAGGGAAGTCAGAAAAGGCTGGAAGAGACCTCAGGGGGCAGCCCCCCTGCCTCACTGCTCCCCTGGTGCCCACTAGGAGTGGAACCCAGACCTTCCTCACACCGCCGCCAAGAAAGAGAAGCAGCCCAAGAAGACAGAGGGCGTGACGCTGACCAATGCCACTGGAGTGGTGGAGACCACATCCCAGGCTGGGGACCGTGGCAGGTGAGTGCCTCCTGTGGAGCTTCCTGAGTCCAGAGGGGCCCACATACTGGGGCAGATGAGTTTTACCTCAGGAGACAAGAAATGATCTAAATCACAGCAACCTCATGCTCCTCTCAAAGATAGTGGCAGGTCATCCTTTGAGAGCACCTACTGTGTGCCAGGCACTGTTGTAAGCATTTTCCATATATTAACTTATTGAAGCCTCCCAACAGTCTGAGAGGTGTATACAGTTCCATTTTGCAGATGGAGAAACTGAAACCCAGAGAGATTAAGTGACTTACCCAAGGTCACACAGCTAGTTAGTAAGCCTCAGAGCCAGGATATGATGTCCAAGAGGTCACGCTGCTTAACCACGAGGTGCCCTTCTCAGATGAGGGGTCAGATGTTCTCAGGGGTCCACTTCAGCATCCCCTCACTCAAGGGCTGGGTAATAATGCTAATAGTCCTGCCTCCCATTTGTCGAAAGAGCTGTCAGTGAGGATCACTGGCTTGGGACCTCCTCTTACAAGGCCCATCCCTGCGCCCGCCTTGGTGGGATTTGGGGCCAGGGCTCTGACTGGCAGGAGGGGGCAGCCCTAAGGACGAGGGGAGAGGCAGTTCATGCTGGGTCCTCTCCTTACGTCTCAGCGTTAGCAGCTACGACAGGGGCCAGCCTTATGCCACCGAGTGGTCGGACGACGAGAGCGGGAACCCATTTGGGGGCAATGAGGCCAACGGGGGCTCCAACCCCTTCGAGGACGACGCCAAGGGAGTGCGTGTGCGGGCACTCTATGACTACGACGGCCAGGAGCAGGATGAGCTCAGCTTCAAGGCTGGTATGGTGGGCGGGGCGGGGCGGGGCCTGAGAGCAGGGGATGCCGGGATTTGCTGGGAATGCGGCTGAGGGCGTGGCCTGGTGCGTGGGCGGGGCCAACCCTGCAGTGGGACCCCAGAGTAGGGTGCGGGCGGGGCCTGAGGGCAGGGGCTGCTAGGAGAAGGGCCCGAACCCGAAAAAGGAAGCCAGAGGCGGGGCCTGGGCTCGGGGCGGGGAGGGCAGGGCCGAGACCCAGATAAGGTGTTTTTTTTTTTTAAATTTAATTTTATTTTGTTATGTTATGTTAGTCACCATACAATACATCACCAGTTTCCGATGCAGTGATCCACGATTCATTGTTTTCATACAACACCCAGTGCTCCATGCAGTACTTGCCCTCCTTAATACCCAGCACCAGGCTAACCCATCCCCGCACCCCCTTCCCCTCTAGAACCCTCAGTTTGTTTCTCAGAGTCCATAGTGTCTCATGGTTCTGCTCCCCCTCCGATTTCCCCCCCTTCATTTTTCCCTTCCTTCTCCTAATGTTCTCCATGCTGTTCCTTATGTTCCACAAATAAGTGAAACCATATGATAATTGACTTTCTCTGCTTAGTTCACTTAGCATAATCTCCAAGGTGTTTGGCACGAAGCAGCCCGTGGGGGGTCGGGGTGTACTGGGGCTGGTCTCCCAAGCGGCACTGGAGCAGTCATGGGAGGGATTGGGGTTGGCCCAGAATAATGGTATCGGAGAGCTTACCTAGCATTGTGGGGTTGGGGGTGGCTCTCTCTGAGCCCCTGTCGATGCGCTCCTCTGTGTCCCCTTCCTAGGAGATGAGCTCACCAAGCTGGGCGAGGAGGATGAGCAAGGATGGTGCCGCGGGCGGCTGGACAGTGGGCAGCTGGGCCTCTATCCCGCCAACTACGTGGAGGCCATCTAGCTGCCCCGCTCCCCTCCACACCACCCCTCACTCCTCGTCCACTGCCTCCCCTCCCTTCTCTCTCTCGTCCCTCTTCCCTCGCCATAGAGTTCCAGACATATTTTCCGATCAAGCTTTTATTTTTTTAAAAGTCAAAACAGAACAAAACAAAAAATACAGAGACAGAAGCATTTGCAGGGCCGCCTGGAGGCCAGGGTGGTGGGACTCGGGGTGATGGCCCCAGGGTAGGTGAGGGTCTTAGTACTTAGCCCAACAGAGACATTGCAACATCTGCTCTTCAGATCCCACCAAAGAGTCTCCTGAGCCCTGAGGGTTGTCTCCCGGACCCTTCTCTACTGCCTCACTCCCCAGAGACTACGCTTTCCACCCCTGCCCCCCCCCCAGGTTGCCAGTGTCTGTCCCCCTCCTCTTCTCTGGGCCTGGTTTTCTGACTTCTTCCTTCTGCCCCACCATGCTCCCCTCCCTCCACCACCCTGCTGTCAAAGGCCTCCGCTCCAGACCCCAGAGAAGGGGGGCCTCCCGGTCTTTAGTCTTCCGTTTTGCCCGGGGGAGTACCCTTCTCCTAGCCCCACCCCTAAGGACTGGTGGGGCTGGAGGAGGAATGGTCACTCTCTTCTACCATAGACATTTCCTGGGATCCCTAGACTCCCCCAGACGTGACAAGAGGAGAGCTGGAGGTGGTGACAGTGTCACGGGGGTGTAGTAGGGGTGAGTGAAGAGGGGGCAGGCCCTCGGTCCTCTCAACACCAGGCTCAGCTGAGGGACCAAGACCCTGCTGGGGCCCTTCTTTCCAGCTATCAGCAAATTTGGGCACAGGCTCTTAGAGCCCTACCCCGCGGTCACTTGCAGAAACCCTGCCCCCCTCTCCTAAGTCCTCAGGCAGGGGGAGAGGCCTCAAAGCCCAGGGCAAAGCCAGCAACAGTAGCAGCCTCCTCCCATTTCCTGGGGAGGAGGGCACCTTGCCCACCCACCTCCCTCCCTCCACGTGCATCTAAAACCGTAGATTCACTAGGTTCAGCCAGCCTCTAGGAGACGGACAGCCTTGTGGCCTCCCATCCCTCTCTGCCCTTCTCTGGCCTTCCCGAGAAGGCACTGCAAGGCCCGAGGGGGTCTCCAGCCTGGAACCATCGGGAACACTGTAGCGCCAATGGGAAAGACATGGCTTTGGAGGAGGGAGGAACTGAGGCTCTCTGGAGCAGAACAGTCCCGTGTCTTCCTTCCTTGTCCCCTCCTCCCCAACCGGCCCTTGTCCCTGGAGCAGAATTCCCCCAGCTGACAGCCGCTCCAATATCTCTAGGCCTGGGTCTCAGTGAAAGGACTTTTTGGGGAGGGGGAGGTAGGGGAGGCAAAGGGCCTGCCCAGAGCCAGAGTGTTTCCTGGGGTTGGTGAAGGAAAGCAGTGTTGGGTTACCAAGTAGTAGTACCACGTTCCAGCGTCTCCCCACATGTGGGCACAGAGTCTTGGGAAGCAAACCAGGGCAGGACAAAAGCTCAAGGGCACAGGGGGAATGGCTGGAAGGAGGAGTCTCTCTGGAACCTCTGGGGCGAGGCCCCGGGACTCCTTGTAGCTCGAGGAGAGCTTCTGGGCCTTAGGACTGCAGACACCCTACCTACCCCCTTCCACAGCACCTGGCTCCCGGGGCCTCCAGATAAGGACAGTGTGATACCCCAGCCCTTCCGGTACCCCTCAGTCCTCCTTTGCTCCCTGCTTCTTCTCCCAACACTCCACTGATGGGTTGTGGACCCCAGCCTCCAGACCCTGACCTTGTCCATGTGTGCCAGAGGATCCTGGCAGACTCTGGCAGGGGCCTCAGCGGGCCAGGCCTCCCTCAGGGCCAGGGGAGTTGGAGGGTGGGGACGATGGCACCCCCAGGGACAAGCAAACTTCGCCCCCCCATCCCGGACCTCCATTTCCTGTCACTGTCTGCTCTCTGGGCATCTGCTGCAGCCTGAGATGTGCCCTAGGCCCCTCAGAGCCCAAAGCAAGATTTCGGTAGCCCTCTGCCCTCCCAACTCTAGACCAAAAGCCTCTTCAGCCTCTCCTCCAGGCGGGAGTTGAGGTTGGGGGCCTTTGACCTTTACCACGTACCCTTGGAAGGCAGGAAGCTGGCATATCCACGCCTTGAGGCCGGGGCTCCCCCTCTCTGTCCCGGTAGCTTTCTTGCACCTGGGGAGGGTCTGGTCCTGGCTGGACCCCAGACCTGTCCCCTCAGCACCCCAGCTCCCCACTCCGGAGCAGGGACTTGAAGTCCCATTCTTTCTGAGCAACCACCTCCACGGCCCAGTTTGGGACCACTGTCTCTCAGTCCCCAGGCTCTTCAGGACCCCGGAATGGGAGGGTCTCCCACCCGGCAGTCCCCCCTCCCCCCGCCGAGCCCTAGGGGCCCAGCCCCACCTGTCAGTGCTGGTGTCGGGGCACTCACCCCCGAGCGTGGGGGCCACGCCCCTCGCTGTGCTCACCATCTCTCGTAGCCCCCTCCCCGCACCCTCAATGCTGCACGGGTCTGCCCTGTGGGGCTCGGCGACTCGTGTGTTTTTGTCCCGAGTTAACCACCGTTCTGCGGCCTGGCTCTGCCGGGGGCCGGGGCTGCCCTGCCACCTGCCATCTGCTGCCCTAGGCTTCCTGACTCCATTAGTCCGACACTTGTGACCCTCCGAGAAGTACTGTGGTCTCAGCAATGCACCTGTTTTGTACATGATCGTGTAATTTAAAGGTATATAAATACAAATATATATCTATCAGTTGTGATTGTATGACTGTGTATAAAATCCAGAACTGTGTCAACCTGGCTGGACGTGGTCCTCTTGAGTCTTGTGTGTCTTTTGGACTCTCTGGAGTTATCCGTGGTTGGGAGGTGTGTCGGGGAGGTGGTGCCCAGCATGCCGAGTGCTGTCCTGGCTGACTGCCAATGGGCTGGAGGACTGAGGGCTGGGCCCTAACCTTCGAGGGCCCTGAGCCCTGTCTGCACAGGGCGGGTGACGAATGGTCTCTGAGGCTCCTGAGACTGTGGCCCTAGGGATCTGGGATTCTGGGAGCCTGGTGATGAGCATTGACCAAGAGCGCTAGAGTTACAGGGTGACCCCTAAATAGGTTTTAATTTTTATTTATTTGTTTTTAAGATTTTATTTATTAATTTGAGAGAGAGCAGCGGGGGCATGGGTGGAGTAGAAGGAGAGGAAGAAGCAGACTCCCCACTGAGCGCAGAGCCCCACGTGGGGCTCGATCCCACGACCCTGAGATCATGACCCGAGCTGAAAGCAAGAGTCGCATGCTCAGCCCACTGAGCCACCCAGGCACCCCAGGTTTTAATTTCATTGTAAGAGTGACTGCTGAGGCCTGTGGCTCCTGGTTGTTCACAATCCCAGCTCCCTGTTGTGTGACATCAGATCATGTCACGATTTTCCTGTGTCCTGCTCGTCCTGCGACAGCATTTCTGTGAGGGACCCCGGGGAGGGCTCCTCCAGGAGGATTGCTCAAGGGAGTGGGCAGGACTGAGGAGGCTGTGGGCTCTCAGCTCTGATGTGCCAGGCCCTCACTCTGCCCCAGCCCTGCTCCAGCCTCCCCACCCGCAGCCAGATCTCCTCTGGGCTGGGCAGGAGTCCCAGGTGGCCGGCCAGGTCTGCGCCAGTTCACTGCATCCCCACCTGCACCCCAGCCTCAGCTTCCCCCAGTCAGGTCGGATAGCTCTCCAAGGCCCCTCTGGCCCGGGCAGCCTGGCAGAGCCCTGACACAAACCCATGATTCAAAGCAAATGTCCCACAGCCCCCCTGCCCTTGCTGCTCTCCCCTGGCCTCCGGACAAACGGGGAGAATAGGTCAAAGGGGGGGTGATCTGTTCACCACCTCATATCCTTTATCCCCCAGATCCAGCATGAGTGACCAGCCCTGGTTTTAGCCACACAGAAGACCCTTCAAATAAAGACCAAACTTTGCCTTATTTGTGCAGGCTCTTGCATGCAGTCGTGGGGAGCCCTGCAGGAGGGTCTGGGGAAGAGTGTCAGGGAATACCTGGGCTGGATGGAGTTCTGACGGGCAGGTGTTCGGAGGAGGAAGAGGAATTTGGAGTTTGTTGTCAGCACACGAGGCGTCAGTGGATGGGTGTGTGCCTGCCAAGGGGATGTGTGCCTCGTGGCAGATCCTCTCAGCAAGGAGCTGCCTCACCCCACCCCCCAGAGCGCCCCTTTCTGGAGGAGCTCCAGCTCCCTGCTCCTAGCCAGGAATCCCCCTTCCTTTCCCCTCTCCCAGCCCCAGCCTGAGACTCCAAGCTGCTCCAGGCCCAGATCCAGCTGGGGGCACGCAAGCAGGTGGCTCCGGGGACTCCGCTGGGGGCACGGCAGGAAGGCTGGAGACAAAACCAGTTCAGCAGAGCTGAGCTGAGCGCTGGCTGGGGTCCCAGGCGGCCCCCTTCCTGGGAGGAGGCAGACAGCCGGGGGCCCAGAGAGGCACAGGCTTGGGGCAGGGCCCCCTCCTCCTGCCAGTCCAGTCCCAACTGACAGATGCCAAGGTGTTGTTTGCTCACTGTCAGGAGTAAACTTTCTTCTGGAGACAATAAAATTGCCGGGAGCAGAAGGCAGCAGTATGGGGCAGCATTTAACCCTCAGTGGTCCGGGCAGTGCTGGCTGGCTCCCAGTCCCGTCTCCTGTGAGCCTGGCATCAGAAGTGGAGGGTTATGGAGGCAAAAGGTGGTGACCAGTCACAGAGCAAGAGGCGTGGAGGGGCAGAGAGAGCATGGTCGTTGTGGGTTCAGTGCTTGGTTCTGCCACTGATTGGCTGTGTGACTCTGAGTAAGTCACTTAACTGCCCTGAGCCTGTTTCGTTGTCTGCAGAAGAGCAGAGTAGCCCCTACCTCACAGTTTTGTTGGGAAGGTTAATGACAAAAAAGCAGTGGAAGCAGCTAGTATGTAGTCGGTCCTCAGGACACCAGAGCTGGCTGAACAAATGTGGGGAAGCTGAGACATGCTGCCCCCCCGGAGAGTGGGTGGGAGGTCCCCATCTCCCCCAGCGCACACGTGCGCCCATACACATTCTGACCCCCACCTCTTCCCATCGGTGTGGGGGGCTTCGCAGGGGGCATTGCAAAGGTCCGTGACTCTCTCCGAGAGAGACACCACAAACAAGCCAATCTCTCTTCCACCCCGTCTGCTGCTGCAGAGCCAGGGTCCCACGGTGGGGGCTGAAGTGCCCACCCTTTCCTGCACCCCTGCCGTCCCATCCCATCGCAGAGACAGGGGCTCAGGCACCCCCCCCGCCCCCATAAGAGGGTTAGCACCCTGGCCACTTCAGGCAGAAACCCTGATCTACAGCAGAGCAAGACGGTGTGGAGAATGCTGCTTTCTCTCCATTCCGAAGTAGGGGAGACTCCCCCCGGCTCCAATCCTGCTCCTCCCTTTCGGCCCCCACCTGGGAGTGGGGAGGAGATGAGGGCCATTCCAGCCCCTCCTTGGCCTTGATGGCTCACTGCCTTTTGCCTACAGCTTCTACCAATCAATGATCCCTTTCCTTGTGGGCTCAGCTCGATGCTGCCTCCCCCAGGAAGCCTCTTTTAACACCCCCCCCAAGGCCACTGTGACCACAACCACTCTGAACATTGGTGGCCTCAGGGATGTGCCACTCACTTGCTGCGCAGACAGTGGGGTTGTGTTGGTTCTCTAATATCTTTATTACCCGTTCCCAGGAGCACCCCTGGCTCCCCAACTCAGGGGTGCAGACGTCTCCCAGCACCACGCCAAGCATGGTGCAGAATGGGTGGCAGGGAGCACTGGACTGCGAGTGGCCTTGGCTAAGTCACTGCCATTCGGCTGGCTCTGCTCTGGAAATTCTGGGGTCAGAGACTGGGGTGGAGGGACGGCCTTCCCTGGGGAGCTGTGAACACTGAGGACTGCCCGGGCTCCTTCCATCCTCCAGTGGACCAGGCACGTGAGCCGTCAGGCCTGAGGAAGAAGCACCCCCACCCTGGGGTCCCTTGGGCCCTGGAGAGCTCACTTAGCCCCCGGGGAGCTGTGGGCTGCCCCCTCCTTGATCTTGGACTCCGATGCCAGCCAACTGCCCTCTCCCTCAGCTCAGGCTCTGGCAGAGGTAGGGGCGGGCAGGAGGGAGGGTGGGCGAGGGCGAGTTTCAGGCCTAGGGCCTGGCCCGCAGCCCTCAGATGGGGTGCACAAACTGGTAGACGAGGCGCTGGGAGATGTCCGGCTTCCGGATGATGCCCTTCTTGTAATACTGGCGGATGGAGCGGCTCAGCTTGTCGTAGTTCATGGCAGGCCGGTTCTTGCGGATGCCCCACAGCCGGGCCACCTGGGCGGAGTCCTCGATTTTGAAGATGCCTGAGGGAGCGGGGCGGGGGGCGGGGGGGTCAGAGAGAGCCAGCCGTGCAAGGCGGGGGGTGTGTGTGTCAGGAGGGCAAAAGACCAAAACCAACAGGTCAGACTCAGAAAGCCAAGGGGGCCGATGTCAGCAGGGAGCAAGTACCAGGCTGGGGAGGCCATAAGACCGAGTCCCAAGTTTGTGCTGAGGGTCAAAGGCATCCGTGCAGAGTGCGTCACGGGGCCCAACAAAATGGCAAAGCTACCCTGGAGTCACCAAGGGTGAGCCTATGCCCGTTAGCGGGCCTGGCCCCAGCTAGCCTCTGATCCCGCCACGGGGTTGGCACACCGGACCCAGAAGCCCTCCGGGGCTCTGCACTGTGCCCACGGCCCACCCATCAAGGTCGTCCCCACCCCCACCCCCGCCGCCTTCCCCGGCTGATGCCAAGCCTGAAAGAGCTCTTTGCTGGCCTCAGACATTAAGCCAGCACAGCCCTTCCTGGTAGGATCCATTCAGAGCAGGGGGTGGAAAGAGAGAATTTGGAGCCAGGCTGACCTGGGTTTGAAGCCTGGCTCTGCCATATTCTACCTTTAGAAGCTGTCTGAGGCCCCTTTCTCCAATCGGTGGAGGGGGTGGTGGCGGCTACCATTTGTTGAGTGGTGACAGAGAGCTTACAGCGGAGCCTGAAGGAGCTGCCCCTCGTGAGGAACTATTACACTGTTAACAACCCAGTTCTCCTGGCAAACCCAGGCCAGCACACCCCCTCCAGGAAGCCTTCCCAGATCACCCTGCCCTCCCTGATCTCTTTTCCCTCAAAATCTACCATGGAACCATCTCCCTGAGGACCGGCTCGCATTAAGTCTCAAATATACACGAGGGTTACAGCCCCTTATGCAGGAACTTCGCTTCATCCCCTCTAGCCCTGCTCGACCTTCCCACTCAGCCCAAGTCACCTCCCCCATGAAGTCCTCCTGCACCAAGACTCAGCTGCCCCCATTGCCCCATCGAAGCCCCGACATGCTCTGTAGGCCCAGCTCCTTTCACTGCTAGCTCTCCCACAACACTGTAGGTCCCTCAAGGATGGGGTGCTGCTGAATCCTCCCTAGACCGTCGGGACACTAATTCTCCGTAAATGTTTCCTGGGCAAGTGTGGACAGAGGTACTCAATGAAGGGTTGTTGGATGAATGGATCCGGTCCATTTTATAGATAGGAAGACTGAGGTCCCAGTACCCGTAGCTACAGATGACAGGATGGGGCCTAAAACCCAGGTTTCTTGACTCTGAGTGTTTTCCAACACACACACACACACACACACACACACACACACCCCATCTAGTCCTGTCCAGTGGAGTAACCACTTGCCACATGTGGCCTTGAGCACTTGAAATCTGGCAAATCTGAATTGAGATGGGCTGTAAGTATAAAATACACACCAGATTTTGAAGACTTAGTAAGAATATCTCATTAATAATTTTATATTGATTATATGTTGAAATTTTAATGTTATAATATTAGATTAAATAAAAGTATTACTAAAATTAAATTCACCTGTTTAAACATTTTTATAATGTGGTTACTGGGAAGTCTAATACTGCCTATGTGGCTCGCATGAGGTTTCTCACTGGACCCCAGCGGTCTCCCTGGTGAAGCTACAGTGTGTTGCAGGCAAAGACTGTGTCCAATTCTCAGCCCAGTTTGAAGCCCTTAGTATGTCCTGGGCACTGTGTGGAGCCGGGTGTCCTAAATAAGACAGAGCTCGGCCGGGAGGCAGAGGCAGACACGAAGGCACACAGACCCCGGGCCAGGCCAGTGATGGCCCGGTGTCTGGCATTCAGGGCGATGGTGGGGGTGGCTCCCCTCTGCCCCAGCCCCCAGCCCTCTCCTGTGCCTGGCACCTGGTGGGGGCCAGCAGGGCCCCCCCCCACCGCTCACCCTTCTCCTTGTTGAGCCACCGGATGAAGCGGCCATAGCTGTGGGGCTTGAGCAGCAGCTCCTTGAGGAACTGCCACAGGTGGATGGGCTGCCCGGAGCAGGATGAGTCCACCTCGCTGTCGGTCCAGCTGTCCTCGCTGGTGGAGGCTGGGCAGCCGGGGAGGGTGGCAGTGAGTGGGGGGGCCCCTTGCTTCAGGGACAGCCATCCCTCAAACCCGGCCCCCAGGCCTCTGGCCCCTCCCTGCCGGCCCTGGCTCACCGCAGTAGTGGACGGTCCCAGGGGAAGTCCTCTCTTTCATCCAGGCCGCTGCAGGGCAGGGAGAGAAGGCTGGAGACCCAGGGCAGACCCCCAGGGTGGAGGAGGGGGCTTGGGTGGGACTGTGGGGCCACAGAAACTGCCCCCTGTGGCCAAGCAAGGGGGCATGGAGGCAGCCAGCTTCTGCCCCCATCACCACCTGGCTCTTAGCCGGGCACGGACTGCTCCTACCCTTGCCTGCCACTGGGCTGGGGCGGGACACTGGTCCCTACTGGTCATACGAGTGGGTCCCGTGCCTAAGGGCAGGGGCCTTGACTCACGGAGCAAGCACTGCCTCTTCCAAAGCACGTGGCTCTGTGTGGGGCACACAGTGGGGGGCGGGGAGACGATTTAAACGTGGTCGGCACACAGCCATTAGCAATAGGGCGGCTGTAGAGATGCTGTTGGGGGAACAAAATCCAAGATACACGAAGAGCAGAACAGTGTGATACTCCGGTGCTATTCATATTAAAAGGGGTGGAAACCACGCATGTATATTCGCTTGCTGTGTGCATAGACTTTCCCCAGCAACGTGCCCAAGAGACTGGTAACTGTGGTTGCCTCTAGGGAGGGGGGCTGGGGGTCAGGAGTGAGCGGGGAAATTACTTTTCATGGTACTATTTTTCGCTATGGTCTTTTAAAATATTTTATTTATTTATTTGACAGAGAGAGCACAAGCAGGGGGAGCGGCAGGCAGAGGGAGAGAGAGAAGCCCGCTCCCCACGGAGCAGGGAGCCCGATGTGGGGCTCGATCCCAGGACCCTGGGATCATGACCTGAGCCGAAGGCAGACGCTTAACCGACTCAGCCACCCAGGCGCCCGCTTACTATGGTCTTTTTAGAAATCATGCACATGTATTACCTCATTACTTCTTTAATGAGAAACAACACAAAACAAACAAATGAAATAAAAAAAAGGACAAAGGAGGACCTCATAGTACCCACGGTCCCCATCAGCTGTGCTGGCCATGTCCCCAGAGTGGAACTCCTACTTATTAACTTCCCGCATGCCCTGCCCTAAGTTCTGTGGGCTTGACCGGGGCTGGGAGTGGGTTGGGGCTGGCGAGTTCGCCCAGGATCCCGTGGGGCTGAGATTTAGAACAGAGCCCAGACTGGGAGCAAGCAGCTGCCGGCCCAGCACAGAACAAGCCTGCTTGGTGTCCTGGCCCGACCGCCCACCGCCCTCAGTGTCCCGGGCCTGGAGCTGAGAAGGTGCTGCTCTCCCAGGCCATGCCCCACCTGATTTCCAGATGTCCAGGTGGGCGTGCAGCACGTCGCCACCCAGAGGGGAGCGCTGCCGGAACTGTTCCTCCGACATGGCACACAGCTCCTTGCCCCCCAACTCCTGGAAGGCTTTACCCACGGGCGGCAGCCGGTACTGGTGCTCTGTCCACAGGAGCCACTTCTGCACGTTGCCAGGGCTCCAGTCCACGGGGTCTGGGCAAGAGACACTCCCTCAGTTCCACGGGCCTCTCGTGGGGCGCCCCTGGGAACTGGAAGCAGCTTGTGGCCGGGACCTGGCCGGGTGAGAACAGGGCAGGCCAGACAGGGCCTGAGGGGCTCTGTGGAGGGGGCACCCGAGAAGAGAGGAGGGTGTGAAGGAGGAGTCAGGGCCCTAGAAACAAACTTGGCTCAGGGCAGGGTAGCCTGGGGTCTCTGCACCCCCCACCTCACCCGGACCTCAGGCCCCCCTGACTCCTCCAGTCCCTCCAAGGCGCCTTTCAGGAGGCCCCAGCCCTGGAGGAGAGAGTGACACTAAACCAGACACCTGAGCTTCTCTCTCAGCTGCCTCCTGCCATACCCAAACACTTCAAGGGTTCCCTTCGAGGAACCAGAAACAAAACAATACAACTAGGGAGGAGCCCTACAACCCCAGCCCGCGCCATGTTTTACGGATGAGGAAACTAAGGCACAGAGAGTTCTAGCCCCTGTCCAACACCCAACAAAGGGCTGCTCAGTGCATCTGCACTGAATAAATGAATGGCAGGGAATTGAGTGATCGGGGGCAGCTAGAGGCCTCAGAGGCCAGGAAGAGAGTCACTGGATGTCACTGGATGTCCCCCTGGGGAGCTGCTCTCGGCTGAGCCTGGCAGGGCACAAGGGGGGAGGCCAGGCTGATGGGCATGGTCACAGTGGGGCCTCCAAGTGAACGCTGTGGTCTAAGCTGGTGCCCCAGCTAGGTGACCTGCAGGCTGGGCTGCCCCCACTTAATAAACCCATTTTCCTTTCCAAGGTCAAAGCAATTTGTTTCTGTCCCCATTGTTCAGAGGGCAGGCCCCTCCCTGGCCCAGTGTGGGAGAGGAGGCACCATGGGAACACCTCCAGGGGTGGGGACTGGCAGGGGCATTGGGTAGCTGCAGGACTGGGGTAGGGCAGGACCTGCCTGGGCTGGGGAGCAGGGGGACACCAGCTGGGATGGTTGCGGGGAGGCGCTGGGCCTTGGTGACTCCAGGGAGGAGGGGCTGGGCCTGAGGGATGCCTGAAGACTTTTTGTGCGAAAGCAGCATGAGACTGAGATGCTCAAATGCCAGGACCCAGCATCCAAGGAGATGGGTCAGACCTGCCCAAAGCTGGAGAGACGATGTGGGAACAGGAGGCCTGGCAGCCTCTCAGCCCACAGCGGCAGCGCCATAACCACGCTTTCCAGCTCCTGGCAGACACACAGGTGCCTGGACTCCTAGTGCCCCCTCCTCATCAGAGCCCCCATCACCACCGGACCTGTGACACACTTATCTATGTGTCTCTGATCCGTTTCCCTCACTGTAATGTCAGCTTCATGAAGAAAGGGGCTTTTGTGTGGCGTTCACCACTCAATTCCCCCGTGCTAGAACAGGGCCTGGCATATTAAGAAGTTACTGTTTATTGAGCATTTACTATGTGCAAGGTGCCGTCCTAGGAACTGGGGATGTAACAGCGAACACAACAAGTGGAAATCCCTGCCCTGGGGGTGTGTACGTTCCAGGGGGGAGACACAGCAAATATGATAAATCAATAAAATACACAGGGTATCAGTACCTGCGATGGGAGAAAGCAAGCAGGGAGGAGGAGTAAGAGGTGGGGGTATGGACAGCAATTTCAATAGAGGCGTCAGGGAAAAAACATCAAAACAGTGCCATTTGAGTCAAGATCTGAAGGAGGCGAGGGGTGAGCCAAGTAAAGATTTGGGGGAAGAGCGTTTTAGATCGAGAGACCAGGAGATGCAAAGGTCCTGAGGTATGAGTGTCGTGGGAGCAGCGATGAGCAGGTGTGGCTGGAGCCGAGTAAATGAGGAGAGCGGTGGAGGTGAGTCCAAGGGGAGGTGGTGGGCCGGATGGTGTAGAGCTCGGATGCACTGCCCGCGGTAGTCAGGGCACAGAGAGGGTTGGAACCTTCCCAGGCGTACGGCTGCTACATGCTATGGGCTGACTGTATGCGCAGAATCACCAGCATCCCTGGGGCTGCTGAGGCTGGGCGGGGGGTGGCCGGAGTGCCGCAGGCAGCACCCTCGCCCCCGCTCGTGACCTCAGCCCTGCTGGTGCCCCACCTTACAGAGGTGGGCCCGCGGAAGGGCTCACCTGCAGTGATGTTGAGCAGCTTACAGGCCGTCTCGATGTCCTTAAGCACCTCGCCCACCACCATGGACTGCACCTGCTCCAGGGAGTGCTCCTCCAGCATCAGCCCACCCGGTGCCAAGTCCAGGCTGCCCCCGGGGGCTTGGCTGTCGATGACCGGGCACTGCTCAGGCTCCTCAGATGGCTCCTCCCGAGCGCTGGCCCCAGGACCCTTGGTGGCCCAGCCGCTGTCCTCGGAGTACAGCATGTCAAAGTAGGAGAGGTAGAAGGCAGACAGGCCCTGCTCAGGCGTGGCAGGTGGGCTGGGGCGCCAGTCCCGTCTCTCGGGCCCCACCGCCCCTGCAGCCACCTTTTCCAGGCCTGTCCGCAGCACAGTGTCGGGGGGCGGCAGGAGGCGGCTGGGGGACACGCTGCTCAGGCCGGGGCTGGCACTGCCCATGCCGCCGTCGCTTGGGCCAGTGGCTGTGTCTACAGAAATAAGAGAGCATGGAGAATCAGGTTCTGGCTGCTTCCCCGCCCCACTGGGGGCCACTAAGCTGGTTACAGGGATGAGGGGCTCAGTGGGCAGTGGCTGGGCCTGGGAGAGAGTTGGGGCTTCTGGGTCATTGGGCAGTTAGGACAGGATTGGGCAGATAGGCTTCTGGCTGGGAAAGACAGAGGTATAAACGGACAACTCCCTCACTCCCCAAGGAAGCCAGGGTGGCTGAAAGCAGCAAATCTTTACACACGTGGCGTGCTTAAAACAACCTTCTGAGGTCCTTGACCTCACTGAATCCTCACCATGGGAGGCACGATTAGACCCATTTGGTAGATGAGCAAACTGAGGCCTGTGGACAAGGAGTCTTTAATGTCTGGGCCTCTGTCCCTGGGCCAGCCCATGCCCAGATCCCAGTCCACTGCCCTGTGGAGGAAGTTCCTTCTGAGAGCTAACCTCAATCTTTCTTGCTATAGCAGAGCTTGTTTTCTTTTATTCTTCCCTTAGAGAGGGTAGGGAAGGGAGAAGGTCACCATCACCTTCACCTTCAGGTGAAGGAAGAAAGGAGCAAGTGAGGGGTGTGACAGGGTAGAATCCCCTTACAAGTCAGGGAGGCAGACCCCTTCCCCTCCAACAGGGTCATCTGGGGGGTATGAATAAATTACCAGCTGAACACCGCTGAGGTAGTCACTGAACAACACCACACCCACTCAGGACTGGGTTTCTGGTCCTCATCCTACCTCATCCTCCCCACAAATGCTGCCCCAGCCCCTCTCAGCTCCCAGGGGCTCTCTCATTTCCCCACGCTGCTGCGCAGACCTACAAGCCCAGCATGGCGGGGAGCGGAGGGGTGATGCTGGTGTGGGGGCAGAGTGGGAGTCGGAGAGGTCGAGATCAGGGGGTGGTGAGAAGGCCCATGCTCTGGGGAATGACAGAGGCCCCCAGCGACTCAGACACCCACTCCTCCCGCTGCCCCAAGGCCCCCCAGGGGGCACCATTTGGCCTCAACACAGAGCCAGAGGCCTCTTTCCCCATCAGTCATGCAGGCTCTGCTTTGCCTCTGGGCCCTTTCTCTCTGAACCCCTTATTGGAGTAGGCAGCTTGGGTGAGTCAGGGACTCAGGAGATGTACACACACCAAGGCACCCGGCTTTCGGGGCTGTTCCTGTGATCTGTGGGCCCGGGACTCAAGTCCCGGTGGAAGATTATCAACATATACATGCCCCCAGTAAAATCAGCATGGAGAAAAGGAACAGATAAACCTGTTAAGGGCAAGTTAACGTGTGTTCGTAAAGCCGTGTTTCTCACAATGTGGTGCCTGGACCAGCAGCAGCAGCACCTGGGAACTTGGTAAAAATGCAGATTCTCAGGCCCGCCTCAGAGCTACTGAATCAGAAGCTCGGGGAATCCCCGAGGCGAATCCCCGAGGCCTTGGGGGTGATTCTACACTTGTTCACATTTGAGAATTGCTGCTTTAAAGGCATCCGGCCAGTAAGAGGGAGAGGCTTTAATCAAAGGACTGGTAGGCTCTCCTGGGGGCATTTACTGTGCCACACTGGGACAGGGAGTGGGGCTCCCTGCCCATTACGAGTCACCCCGTGGGACTGACCCGCTTAGCCTCGGTGTGCATTTGCCCTGAAGAGCCCAGTTGGGAAGATACTTCTGGCTTCTTGGGGGCTCCAACTAGCCCATTCCACACCTTCAAATATCTCAGCACTTGGTGATCTTTCTCTCTGGATAGCAGTTTGGTGAATGGAGCCCAAGTGAGATTTCAACCCCCTCTTCTCCCCTCCCTTGCGCAGTACCCGACCTTCCCAACTGTACATGGTAGCCGTGTAGTTTTCCGTGGCGGAGAGAATGCCAGCAAGAGAGCATGGTGTTCCCTTTGATTTCAACTCTCCCTTTCAAGGGCTCCTTTAAGTGACAAGGAAGGAAAGGTCAGGGTGGGGTGGGGTGAGCAGGGAAGGAGGGGGACTGGGGTTGCGGGGGACAGAGGGCAGGCCTGGAATCATTTCAAGGCCTTCTGTGCAAACACACATGTGTGCTGTGGGCCCAACATTATTTACCCAGGCAGTGCCAACAGCCCGCTCTGCTTCTGGGTCCCCACCCCGGCCTGTGCCCATGCCCTACCCCCTAGGAGGCCCCACCCCTGGGAGCCCCTCCACCCCTCCCTCATCACCCTTACCTGCCTCCCGCCCCATCCACGTCCCCAGAACTCCCATGCCTGCCACGTTAGGACAGTCTCTGCCAGCACCCTGGGCCATATGCCAGGAAGACGGAAGCTTTTCCAAGAAGCAGGAGAACTTGCTTCCCTCATGGCCCTTCTGTTTGCTTGGCCGCAGCCACAGGTCGGATGGGAGGCAGCTGCTGTGTTTCGGGGCACCGTGGCATGAGGGGTCAGTGAGGATGAAGGGGCAGGGCAGCATTTGCTGGGCAGGGGCTTGACGACACGGCCCTGATACACTGAGTGAGCGCCCCTTGCATCTGTCCCTCCCTGGAGAGAGGTAGCCCTGGCCTTATTCTCATTCCTATTCCATGGACAGGGAAGTGAAGGTGCAGAGTGCTAAGTGATTTGCATCCAGGTCTTCGGACTCCCGGCCCAGGGCTCCTTCAGGGGCAGAGAATTCTCACCTCCTCCCCACCCCGCATTCCAGCTCCCCCCTCACTTTGCACCTAAATGCCAAGGAACCTGCTCTCAACCAAGTCTTGGTCCCAGCTCCCTGGTGAAAAATAAGTTAATAATTAACCATGCAGTGGGAGGAAAGATCTGAAGTGGGGAGGTGGTGGAGAATGCTCTGATCCCAGCAGCCCAGATCTGGGGGGACCTTGGTTTACTGGTCAGGGAGCCCAGCCTGTAACTCTAGCGTCTCCTCCAGGGTCTGGGGCCAGACTTGGAGGGAAGGCAGAACTGCTCAGCGAGCACCTTCTATACCCCAAGCATTCATGCCCGTTATCTCCCTTACTGCCCACAACTCCGGGGGATGTGGGTTCGAGAGTCCCGGGTTATAGATGTGGACAGTGAGGTTCAGAGATCTTATGCAGCTTGCTTCTTGAAGTCCCCAGCCGGCCACATGCAGGCTCTGCTCATTGTGCCACACTCCCTCTGAGGCTTCTGCTCTGACCGATCCATTTTCCCAGAGTCCTGCCCTCCTTCTGATTAGGCCACTTGATCCTCCAAAGTCCATTCCCACCCCACTGTCAAGCTCATTTCCCTTCAACACTCCTTCATCGGGCACCCCTGGGCTCAAAAACCTCCCATGGCTCCCTATGGCCCGCCTTGCACAATTCCAATGACTGGTACCCACCTCCGAGCCTACCTCCTACCCAGCCCAGAGCTGGAAGGGACCACACATTACGCGATCGTTTTGTAGATCACATATGGGGAAGGGATTCATTTGCTGGTTAGTGGCAGGGTCCGGACCAGAACCAGGGATCGATCGACACCATATCTAGGCTCTAATGACAATGGCATTTCTCCCCTGGCCCCAGTGCTGTGGGCACAACACGGCCATTTTCTCTTGTGCTGCCATCCCCCTGCCCAATATGCCCCTTCCCTTTCATCACAATTCAGCCCAAAGCCCTCTGCCCCCAGGAAGCCCTCCCCAACAGTTTCCTCCTCTGACTTCCCAATTCTCCCCAACTGTGCCACGCAATTCAGCCATGATTATGTTCTCAGCTTCTCCCGAGAAGACAGGTGTGCACTGGGGAAAATGACATTCAGAGAGTGGCAAGGACGTGCCCACAGTCACGGCAGACCTCGGACCAAACTGGGGGCCTGCTGAACCTCAGGCCAAGGCTCCATAGGCCTAGGGTCCTGGGACAAGCCCCGTGTTTGCCAGATCCACATCCTTAGGATGGCAGGCCCGGCCCTCCCACCAGCCCCTGCTGGGCCCGAGGTGCTGCCCGTCTCCCGAGCGATGCTTCCAGCTCCTAAACCTCGAGTTGATCTTTTCTGGATTAAACCACATGTCTGGATTAAGGCTCAGCATGTCCTGGCTCCCTTCTGCCCCAGAGGCTCTGGCTCAGACTCCAGACAAAGGGAGTTTGGTAACAGCTGGTGGAGGCCAAGGCCCAGATACAGGGCCAGATCGGTGGGGCAGCGGCCGGACCGATTAGCCCCTTCTCCCAGCCCCTCCTACTCCCTCAGGAAGGCAGATCAAGGAGAGAGGGCAGAGGGACCCAGAGTCAGAGATATGTAGCAGCTGTTTCCTACCACGGCCTGGTCTGTGGCCCTGCAACTCCTCTGCCCGAGGCTGTCTCCCACATCCTGCTCAGTCCCGGCTCCCAGATCATACCCCGGCGAGGGACTGTGGGTGGGACAAATGTTCTTGAGCCCCTACCTCAATCCTGAGACCCGACCTCAGTCTGCCCAGAGCCCAGGACCCAGGCTGCAGACCCCAGTGTGAGGAGCACCGAGGGAGAGTGGGTGGGGCAGGGAGTGACAGTGCCTAGCACTGAGCTGAGGTGGCCTTTCTCCACCAAGTGGGGCAGACCTACTCAGGCTTGCCCACCGTCCTGGCCATCAGCCCCTCTCCCTCCAGGCAAGGGTCTCCTTTAAAAGGGGAGCCAGGGGACTGTGGGGGTGTGACTAGGGCCTGGCCAGGAGCCATGCAGAGTGGGTAGGGGCACATGGGCTGACCCCCCAGTCAGCCGGTCAGCACCTTGGAGAGAAGCCGGGACTGCCCAGGCCGCAGGGAGTCTGGGGCCAGTGCCCATGCCTTGCCTGAGCAACGTGTTTGGCTTCTCTGAACCCTCCCTGCCTCGGGACCCAGCCTCTCCCCTCTATCTTCTCACTCTTCCGCTCCTCCTGTTCCCCTCACTTCTCCTGCCACGCTCCTGCCCTCCATGGAACCCCAGCTCCCTTGCCCTTTGAAACTGCTCTTCAAACAAGCTCGACCCAAGAAAAGTACCCAGCCTTCTCCTTACTGACCACCCCACTGTCCAGAATGCCGCCTCTCTGCACGGGACAGGCCACCTTCCTACCCAGGAAGGTGTCCCAGGCTCGCCACCTCCCGGCAGCCCCAGCCTTCCTCAAGCACCCCATTGTGCCCCTCCCCACGCACCTGCTGCCCCCGGGGTCTCCAAGGGCTGAAAGAAGGGAGGTGGGTCCCTGGGGGATGGCAGGAGGAGGACTTGCTTCTCGGGCTCAGCGTGAGAGCAGGGGAGGCAGGTTTCTCCCAGGCCTCCTGGCTTTCTCCCACCTCCTCGGATCCCAGACCCATGCAGGCCACGGGCTTTACTTTCCCAGGAGCCCTGCTCTCCGGGACGTTCGACTTGAGGAGCCAGTCAGTGGGCCCAGGAGGTATGTGTGGAGAACTGGGGGGTGGGGGTGAGGCTCTAGGAATCAGGTACCACTGGCATCCAGACACGCAGCCTCACTGACATGGCTCGAGACCCTGAGACAAGGTGAAGGCCAACTAAGTGAACTGCTTCATCAGGGTCTTGCAGCCATCCCATGGGGCAGCCACTATTCCCCCCACCTGATAGACATGGGTGCCGTGGTGACTGCGCACTTCTCTCTTTGCACGTGGTACTGGGACCTGGCCCCTCTCAGCCCCTAGGGTCTCCCCGGCTGCCCACACCTGTCACCTCTGCTGAGGCCACCCACTGACCCAGCCCCCTAGAGAGGGTGGGTGGCAGGGAAGCCTGCAGCCTGGGCAGGAACCCACCTCAGCCCTAAGCTCTCCCCTGTATTTGAGTTTGCTCCAAAGGTGGAGGGGGGGTGTGTGGCCTGGGAAGAACCAGAGACCTCAGCATCTGGAGATGTGGGTCCCTGTCCTGCTCTGTTGGCGCTGTATGTGAGGCCCTGGGCAGCGCCTGGGGCCCTCTTCTGTTCTCAGGGCTTTTCTAACCGAGACACTGTCTGGATTCTATGATCCATGCTTCCATCTTGCCCCTCAGCCTGGCTTGGAAGGGGGATGGTGGAGAAATAGAGGTGGACACCAGAGACTCCCCTGGTGAGTAGAAACATAATTCGTGGCGGACATTTGGGCAGAATAAGAGGTGTGGCTGTGTCTCCCCCCTGCCTCCCTCCTCTGGAGCTGCTGTCCCGAGCCTCTGAGAGATTTGGCCCCGCCTTCTGACCAAGCAGGGACCCTGCCTGGCTGCCTCACAGATCGCCCTCCACGTGGGGTCCCACCCCAGCAGCAGCCCCTCCCCACTTCACACAGGCAGCCAAGACCCCAGCCCAGACAAGTCCGGGGCTTGCAGCCAGTGATGCTGGGGTAGTCGGTCAGACCACGGCCCCAGTTTCCAGCCTTGTCGAGTTCAAGTCTTGTCTGACTTTCAGGGCTTTACAGAAACTCCAAATCACGTCTTCATTCAGCCCCTCATTGAGCACATGCCTGGTGTAAATTAATTTCATGTCCCGGCACCCCATCAAGCTCCTTTGCCCTCATTCGGGGTCTCCACGCTCCGGCCCCGGCTGGGCGGCTGTGGGCAGCCAGGCCCCTGGGGGCGTGAGGACACAGGGCTGCACCCGGCTTCTGCCCATGGCACGGTGGTTCATCCTCGCAGCCTCCCTGTCGGTGACACAGGGACTCAAAAACGACTGTGTCTCTGGGGTTTGGCAGGACAGACTTTGTAATCTCCCAGAGGTGTGTGCACACACTTGTTCCCCTCCTCTCTGGTCTCACGTGCCTCAGCAGCTGCCCCCGGGCCAGGCGCAGCGCTGGAAAGGCAGCTTCCGAAACTCGAAACTTGGGCTGGGGAATCTATAAAATCTTGACAGGGCTGAGGGAGAAAAAGTGCCTTGAGCCCTAATCACGGGGCCAGGGAGCACACCTCGGGGCTTGGAGGGGGGCTTTCAGGACAAAGGGAAGGCACTCCAACATTGCAGAAAAGGATCAAAGTCCAGAATGAATTGTCCTGAGAGGTTAAGAACAGACATTGCTTCAAAAAGGGGGTTTAAATGGGCGGGGAGTTAGGGGGTTACTGGGACCCATCCCCATCTGTGAAGTGTAAGCAGGGACACATGGCCCTCCTGCCCTAGAGCCCGGGAAGGGGATGTGGGAGTCCGAGGCGGGACGATCTTGCTGCCCAAGAGCAGAGAGACCCATGCCCCCACCCATGTCACTAGTCCCAGGTGCTGAGACGCTAGCTGGGCAGTCACCTCCAGACCCCTCTCCTGAATCCCAGAGCTGGAGGGAGGAGGCAGGGCTCCTCAGTTCTGGTGGCAGCCAGAGAGAACTCACTGTCCCTCGCTAAGGTCCCGGGTGGGCTCTGGTCTGTCTGGTTCCCAGCAGAGTCACACTCAGGGCCCTGGCAGGGGAGGAGAGGTCAGGAGGGACGAGGAGGCTCACCCTCCCCCAGTCTGGAGGCCCCACCCAGCTGCCAAAAGGTGGGAGAGGAGAATCTGGCAGGGGGCACCTCCTGAGCTGGGAGCATGCAAACGAGGCAGGGGAAGGAGCCCAGCATTAAATGTCAGGAAGAGCCCAGGGCAACTCGGCTTGTGCAAAGTTTGCTTTGGGGAGAGTTGTTCTACCTGACAGGCTGCTCCCTTGGCTGGGGGTGCAGGGTGGGGCAAAGAACGGGATGGGGGTGGGGCAGGGGCAGGGGGAGGGTCCCAGACCAGGTTTGAGCCCCATCTCCTTGCTTTCTAGCTCTGGGACTGGTGTAAGTGACTCGGCTTCCTTGGAGACTCAGTGGTCCTGTCTATTAAATGGGCTGTCAAGAGCATGCCTTAAAGGGTTATGAAGATTAAGGGCACTTGTGAACTGAGACGGGCTGAACATTCAGGAAGGTACCTGGGAGCAGGTGAGGGGAAGGGGCAGGAAGGGGGGAGGGGAAGGTAGTGGGGTAAAGAATGAGGGGAACAAACATAGAAGTAGGTGGTGATGGTGGGTGGAGTCTGGGGAAGAGTTGAGGTTGGCGGTGAGGAGGGCCGGGCCCTACCTGAGGTCATCCTGCTCTCTAGCCCAGTCCGGAGCAGCTGCTCTGGCCTCACTCATCCCTCCCTGGCCTCTAGGAGGAGCCAGAGCCAGGGGACAGCCTAGGGGGCAAGGCTGGGAAAGCACACATCTTAGAGCGCTGGCAAATCCAGCCGGCTAGCCTGCCCTCCACCAACTCCTATACAGCCTGCAAAACCCACTCAGAGGGTGCCTTCCACGAAGCCTCCTTTAAACAGAGGAGGCCACCTTGTCTAAACTTCTCAATACACAGACAAGGAGCTACAAGGGCAGGGAGGAAAAGTGACTTGCCCAAGGTCACATACCGTGGGCCTTAAATCCATCTCTTCTTGCCCTCCACCCAGAGCGTCTTTGTCCCTAGGTCAGTCTGAAACGACTTCCCCAGGTTACACTCAAGCTGCACCAAGTCATTTAAGCACAAAATGGGCCTCTGTTTCAGGGCTATTAACTTTACATTCGCAGTGACCTCAGTGGTAAAACATGGCTTCTCCTGGTTTTGTTCTACTTATTGCCAGCATCACAATTTCGGATCATCAGTTGAGAACCTACTGAGCGCTCACCCTATTTCCTCAGGCCTCGTGGACAGAGGAGTTCCCATCTCATTCAGAGGGGCCTTGTGAAAATCGAATGGCATCACATTTTATAATTGGTATTTTATAACAGGTAACTCACAATAAAGTCTAGGAGGGACTGAGTTTTTACCTCTGGGTCCCCCCCATCGTGCCTGGAGCAGAGGAAATGATTGTCATTTCTCAAAGGGGAGGGTGGTTTCACCCCCTGAGAGAGCATCTCCACACCTCAACGTCCCCAGGGGCCCTGAGGATGCTCCCTCCCCCCACATTTCTGTGAGTTGGGGGTGATGAGACCCTGCGCTGGGGAGTCCTCGACTCCGGCCCCACCCCCAGCTGGGCTGGGCCCTGGCAGGGTCCCACCCTTGGCTGGGGAGTCTCCTGCCCATCCCATCCACCACCTCAGGCGGGGGGGTGGGGGGTGGGGGGGCAGCTCAATGCCTGTTTGTTTTGTTACTCAGGGAGCAGCTGGTGCTGGGGAGATGCAGCTTTATTGGGGGTTGCTGTGAAGCTGTTTACTGGGGAGGTGGGGGCAGGAAATGAGGCCTAGTCCCAGCATTGGCCAAGGAAAAGGAGAAAGGCCGTTCCTGTCATACAGGGGACAGGCCACTTGAGGCCTGTGGCCTGGGTATGGGCCACTGGGTGGGTAAGGGGATCCAGCGCTGGCTCAGTGGGCCTGCCCGCTCCCCAACACGCACACCCAGATAGATGCCCATGCACGGGTTAGCACAGCCCGCCCCCCGCACAAATGCATGCACCCACACAATGTTTGTCCAGCCTCAGGGGAACCCCCAGACAGCCAGACCCTTCAGCTTTCCACCCTGTCATCACCACCAGCACTGCCCCTCCCCACAGGAGGCATCTGGTGAATCTTAGAAAGGAGCGTCTTCAAGGACTTCCTATTTCTCTCCTAGTGCACCCAACTGGGGCCCCCAGGCCGTCAGCTCTCCTGGGTGCTCAACCCTGGGTGCTTTGCTCGGCAGCTCCCTAGACCACCAGGGTCCCGGGCCCACCACTGCCCTGCCCCAACCCCTGGCCTCTGGGCCTGTCCTCCCTGCTCCAACCTGGAGCCTGGTCCGGAGGCTCCGGGCTTCAGCAAGCCCCTGCCCGCTGTGGTTGGGCCCCCAGCAGACCCTTCCCTTGGCAGAGCAGTGGCGGCCGGTGGAGCAGAAAGGTCGCCTGTGTTTTACTAGCCAAGCAGAACTGACCATGTCTTGGGGCCCGAGGCTCTGCCCCTGCAGAGTGGCCTCCCTTCAGGCTGCATAGGCAGGGCTCAAGGTATGGCCTTGGGGGCTCCCGTGGGCTCTGGGGTCAGCCCAGGGAAGCAGGTGGGCGGCCTGTGGAGGGGTGGGCCCTCCTGAGGGTGAAGGACCCGGATCACAGGGCCAGGAACGCCTGGGAGATTAGTTCTGAGCTCGCAATCCATGCCTCCAAATCCTGCCCCCTGTCACCCACCTCCCCACAGCTGGGAGGGCACAGCCCCCACGGCAAGGTGCTCTGGGTTCCCACCAGACTTACCCGTTAGCTGCCTTGTGCCCAGGGAGTCGTCCACCGCAGCACCAACCTCGGGGGCCCAGGAGAAGGCGTCGGCAGTGCGGGCCACGGCTGGGTCTCAGCCAGGCATCTGGAGTGGGGGCAGTGGGACCAGGGGCCAGCAGGGCTGGGGGCAGAGGTGGTACTCGGGTGGGCCGCTGGGGGCCTGGCCACCATCCAGGGGTGGCCCTCTGAGATCTCGGGGCCCTGTGCCCCGTAGAGAGCCCTTTGCCCCCAGCCCAGGGCCACCTGTTGGCACGGTGGCAAGACCTAGCCTGAGGGGCTTACATGGAGGCCGTGGTGGGCTCAGGGGGCCAGGTCTACAGGGCAGTGTGGACACCGGCAGAGTGCAGGAATGTGCTGGGAGGAAATCAAGCAGCCTCGAGATGAAGAGTTGGCCAGGCCTGATTTCCCATTATAAGTAATCCTTCCTTATTTACCTGAACAAATACGCTCCCTGCTTACCTCAGACCACAGGCGGGCTCCTGGTTAACCCTTGCAGGCCTCCCTCTCCTCGATGGGGGATCCACACGCTGGCAGCTAGAAAACCCATTCATTCATTCACTCGTTCATTGGTTCATTCACTTACTCATGTTCATTAGCTGATGCATAGCTACTGAGCTTACGGCGTGTGCAAGGCACAGGGGATACATCTAGAGGGACGTGGGACAGGACACTAGGAGGGAGGAGCCAAGATGGGGGAACAGATAAGCAAGTTCAGTGGAAAGTCAGAGCCACCCATGCCTTAGTGGAGGGCTGTGGAAGCACCCAGCAAGGCAAGTCAGAGAGGGCTTCCTGGAGGAGGTGCTGTCTGGCTCTCCAGGCCAGGGATGGAGGGAACTTCAGAGAACCCTGTGGAAAAGGACCTGAGGTTTGCGCCCCCCCACCCCCACCCCCACTGCGTGCAGGGCCCATGCTCGCTGTGATGGGTGCAGGCCCGTGATGCAGTGGTGCTCAGGAAGGACTGGTAGCTCACTCTCCCGGGCCCAGAGCGGGGCTGGCCAGCAGCAGCTAGCTCTCCAACAGTCCCTGAAGGATGGAGGCCATGAGGTACCCACGCTTGGCTCCTCCACCTCCATGAGTCCCGGGAGGACCACACAGCTGAGCTCTCGGCTTCCTCCCTGTCCTGCCAGGCGGGCAGGGCCTGGCTCTTCCTTTCTCTGGATCACCTCAGAAAGGCAGCAAACCCCTGCTTCCCCCATTCTGTCAGATGAGGGCATCTGAGATACTGTTCACTGCTGTTTTCTGACTTCAAGGAACCGAGTGGCTGCCCACAGTGAGATTATTCTAGGGCTGCAGGAAGATTCCAAGGCCTTCAGCACTAGCCCCCTCACCTTAACTGATACCCAGATTCTCCTACATCTGGTTGGACCTTTCACCCCGGAGAGCCCCGTGCTTGCCAGTTACGGTCACCGGCACCTTGGTGAGGATGCGTTTCCACAGTCAATCCCCAGAAAAAGTGGAAGTAGGGTGGGCCAGAGATAATACAAAGTCCTAAAATGGCTACCATCCCAGCCCTCCAGGGTTGATAAAAAGAAAGACCCCGGACGGCCCAGGCAGGACCTCCTCCAGAATGCCCTGTGCACCCCACGCCCCTGCCTGGCAGGCTGCTTTCCTCTCAGACTCCTGTGTCCTTCTCAGCACTGCAACGCAGTGGTAATACTTGGCCATTGCTCAGGGAGCACCTACTAGGTGCCAGGCACCGTGGACACCCAGGAGATAAGGTATTCATCATCTGGTAAGCACTATAACATGGGTAAGTACAGGAGTACCCCCCAGAGGTGCTTTTTCAATGGACGGGGTGTCAGAGATAGATAGTCACCCCCAATGACCATTCTTCCGATTTCCTCAGTAAACAAGCCCCTAATTTTTAACTGGGAACTTGGCTACCTGGAATGAAGACTATCCTGACTCCTTTGCAGCCAGACTGTGGTGACCAAGTAGAAGTGTTGTGTGGCAGTTTCTAACAGTATTTCTTAAAGGTAAACTGGCTTGTGTCATTTGCCCCCTTCTTCTTGATCCTTCCTCCATCTTGCTGCCCAGAATGCAGCTGTGATGGCTGGAATTCTGATTGCCATCTTGGACCATGAGGACAAGCTGGTGGATCAGTGAGCTGGAACGAGCCCAGGTCTCGAGGACTGCATAAAACCTCCATACTGGCTCTGGACTGCCTGTCTCAGGAATTTTATGAGAGAAATAGACCTTATGCTTTTGTTAAGTGTGGTCTTTAATATTCAAAGCCAAGTCGGATCCTAGCTGAGACAGAGAAGAAGATAGACAAGCAGGTGAAGATAGTACACTCTTATAGCCAGAAATGATATCTCACTGCTGGGTGGCATTGAGAAGACACCTGGTCATGCCACAAAACACCTTGGCCTTGGGAAGGCTGCCCCTTGAATGCTGGGTATAGCCTTGCTCTGGGTGCATGGCAGCACTTCATAGGTCTCTCCAGGGATGGGCAGATTTGAATGGATGGACCAGGCTAAGCTGAGCTGAGGGTGGACAGGGATTCTACCTGCCCAAGCCTAGAGTAGGTGCCTCTGGAAGCTGGGAAGCTTCAAGAGGGAACAAAGGAGGGGACAGGGGACTTTCCATCTGCTCAGCTGGGGCTCACGTGGGCTAAGGTGCTAAGAGCCTGCCGGGAGAGACATCAGTGGTGGGCTCAAGGCAGATTTGGTGCCCACCCAGGACACTCTGTTGGGTTCCAGGGGAAGGGAGGGCCAATTATAAACTATCCTTAACCCATGAAGGGACTCTAGAGGACACACAGCCCCTCAACACCTTGATCCATCCAGAATAGTGTTGTGACATTACGTGCTCAGGATTTGACCCAAATGCACAACCAGGTTCCGTCACCTACCAGCTTCATGACTTTGGCCGAGTGTCTGAAGCCTGCTGAACCCCCTGCTCCCCATCCCCAGAGAACTCTCAGAGCTGCTGTGGGAAGAGAGATAATATTAGTGAAAGTGTCCTGTGAACCGAGACACCCTGTCCCGATGCCTTGCTGGCCACCAACCACATGTCACCAGTCTGATGTGTGTCATCTAGCTCCGCATAGCAACTTCTCTAGGTAGATGTTACTCTGCCCATTTTTAGGTAAAGAAATTGAGGACAGAATGTTGAAAATATCTTGCCCAAGGTCATGCTGGGAAGCAGACTCAAACTCAAATTTGGAGTTTCCTTGACTGTCCCGTGCCTGATAGGACCCTGTTATTATCCCTTGTCCCCTCAGGGGTCAAGTCCCAGGTTCCTGGCATGGGTCACTGGGTCCACTGGACCACAGTCCAGCCCCCACCCCAGGCTGGTCTCCTCCTCAATCCTCTCCTGGCCAGCTCCCATCAGGTGAAATGTACCCTCTCTTTTTCTCCCTCCGTCCACATACCACCCATCCGTTGTGGGCACCCTCCAGACCTGGGGGCTGGCACACCACTCACACTGGCCTGATGTCACTTCTTCTGGGACTTTTCTCTGACCCACCGCGATGGCGTATTCTCTCTTGCCCCGGGGTTTCTGAGCCCCGGCCCCAGCGAGGTATGCTGTGACAGCCCGCAAGACCAGCCCAGCGGGAGCCTCTGCTGAGCGAACATCTGGATGAACCAGTAACATCCTTTGTCTGTTGTTCAGATGGATTTGAGCTGAGTTTCTTCTTCTTGGGATTACTCTCCATCCTTCAAGCCCCATCTCAAGAGCAATCATCTCCACAAAGCTTTCTCGTGTTCTCTCCAGCCCTCGCAGACCCCCCATTTCCCATTTCTTTCTGCTCCCATGTCTCCCAGTGGTTCTTTTCTCCCTAAGCTTCTAACTCGTCTAGGGCAGGGACCCTGGAGCTGTGGCAGGACAGGAGCCCGCACACAGATTATGAGCCCTCTCCCGGGGTGCTCCTGCCCGCCGCTCACCCATCACCCATCCGAGAGGACAGTGCCCGATGGGGGCAGGGCCCATTTACTGGCCGGGTGCCGACAAGCCAGCTCAGGGCCCCTCTGGGCCTCCCTCACCTCCTCTGTGGAGTAGAGATAATACTCGCCCTGCTGACCTTGTGGACAGGGCACCGTGATGAATGAATGTCAGCTGACAATGGGAGTTGGGAGTACTTTGGAAAGGGCAGTCGGTCTTGGTTGGTTGGTTGGTCACCTTCCTAGCTTTCTTCCTGTCCCCATCTCTCTGTTCCCCCATCGTCCCACTTGGGTCCTCCTAGGAGCTGCAGCCTTGGGGTGATGGCAGGGTCAAGGCTGGGCCTCATGCTAGCCACAGAGAGATGGGGCTGCCCCTGCCCAGTTGACACAAGGCCCTGCTCTCTGTCCCAGGCTCCAGCTCTGAGAAGGTGGGGAGAACTCAGGGGAGGACTGCCCTGCTGAAGTGTGAAAGGCCTGGGGCTGGTCACCCAGATGGGACCGCAGGGGCGGATGGGCAGGAAGCCTGGTCTGCGGGGCCCCACAGACCGTGCAGTCCTCATGGCACAGAGGAAGACCCTGAGACCAGAAAGGCTAGGGAACAGACCCAAGGACACACAGCGGGGCTGGGATAGGAGTCCAGCCTCCAACCCGTGCTCCTATGTGGTGTGTGCTAGCTCATCTAATCTTTGTAAGTCCAGCACCTAAGGGCCCCGTTGGCCTTCTCCTCTACAGATGAGGAACAGAGGCTCCTTAGATCTTGCCAAAGTCAAGGCTAGAAAGTAGCAGAGGCAAGATTCAGGCCGGTCTGCTGGTGTCTTTCCAGGATACCATGCTGCAGCCAAATGGCAGACAAGGGGACCAGGACTAGCTTGGGGTGGCAGCTGTGTCCTCCGGGACCACATAACTAGGCATTTCCACCAGCTGGCTCATGGAGGGTGCCACTTGGGTCCAGGGGTGGCCGTTGGGCACCCCTGAGCCATGACATGTTTTTCTGTTCAGACCGGCATGCATTTCTCGAGCACCTACTCTATGCCAGGCCCTGTATGGGGGCAGGATGGCCAGAAACAGTCTGTCCTCAAGGAGCCCATGGACTGGTGGCTGCAGCAACTTGGCATCTCTCTGTCTCAGAGGACCCCAATGCCCCCAGCATCCCTCCGAAGGCTAGCCATCTGTGGGATTACTGGTTTCTCAAACACCTATTACCTGCAATGAGCTATAGTGTGTGACCCTCTCCATTCTAGCAGCCTGAGGCCTTCCCAGCTTGGGGCGTCGTTCCCCAGGCCCTGGGCTTCCCCACCAATGCCATTTCCTGTTCTTCTTCAGACTGACCCCTCGGAAAGAGACTCAGGCCCCTAGGGGGGAAGCCGAGTAGATAGGCAAATCTGCTGTGTCTAAGGCCTGCTTGTGTACTGCACTCTTTCCTGTGGCTCCACACACCCACTCCCATCACCCACCACACCTGGGATACCATCCGAGGAGGCCTCCTCTCCGCCCAGGGCCCCA